TAGCCGCTGCGTCCTGTTGAATCATCAGTTGAACTAACCTAGTCTTATATCTGGGTTGAACAAAAAGGAAACTGTTGTTGATTCAAGTGCCCTTAGGGTGTTTTCACGAGACCACTGATCACCACCGTGGGGGTAGTGAATGATTTTACTGAAAGGGACTAGTGAATTACCAACAGTAAACAGCATAAATTCTGCAGCATACTAAGACCAAGTAAAGCCCTTAACTCCATGACGTTTGCGACACGTTCCCGTCTTCATAACCAGTAATCGTCTAAAGTTTGGTAGAAAAACGTTCTTATCGATAGGATTTTTAAAAACTTATGTTAACGAAATAAGTCGTGGCAAGTTGATTCGGAGAAACATTTTGACTTATATGGTGAGCTCTTCCCTATAAACCACTTCACAAAGCATTAAAGCTTTTGGTGTGGAAAAGACGTTCGTGAAAAAAATTAACTATTAAGCTTAGTCCGCCGTGATAAAATTCAGCTTCCTTCGTGGAGTTTGAATCCATGACAGAAACTGCAATATTTAGTGTAGAATAGACTTTGTCCCATGAGAAGGGCTGGGCTCAGCAACAACTCTGATGATTATCAAGCCTGCATCCGGCACGGACAACGAAATCGCGGCAACTGACGAGTCGAAAGCGAAGTTTCAAGTCATCACCGGACCAATTAAGACCCCAAGCGGTGGTTACAGCAACTGATAATTATAGTACACAAGCGGATGACCGCTACGAACTACAAACACCGTGCAATCTGTGCATGTTTCATCCCAATCTTCGCATGTCTCACACTATCCTACGGTTACCTATAATGAAGGACTCTCGAGAGAATCCGAAACGTCAGAAAAATAATCCTCTTGTTCTAGTGATCACATCATTTTCTTCTGAATAGGTTATCTAGCAAATTGAGCTACGAGGCGACGAATTTAATCCCATCTGGGGCAAGTTACCCACCCAACCTATTGAGACGCGGATTCAGGCAACCGACCGTCGAAGCAGGGATTCCTGAAAAATCATTATAGAATCCACCATATGACTATAAAACTGAATTAGTAGGCCGCTCGGAAAACGATGGCCGACTTTTAGACTCGCTTCCAAAAATGAAAGTAGTTGGTTTTATACACTGTTTTTACGAAATATTATATGCCAAATAAGTAGTATGTACTTTATAATATCCTTCACCGTAACATTTTGAAGCCGATATGCCCTTAAAAATAAAATATAAAGATACAAACTGTGTAAATGTTTCTTGCATTCATTCAAACTTGGTCATACAGCCTCCCCAAACAGCGGCTTATATCAACAGCAAGTAAGGAGAATGGTCCACAAGAGATTGCCCATTACAAGGATGCCTTCAGGAGGCCTGTGGTGACAACGAGAAATTTCAACGTGAAGAAGGAAGAGGACGGTCATTTAATCTCGATACTAAAATGTGAAAGCGATTATTGAAGAAAACTGACGTCGAGGTGTCAGATAAATAGCTGGAGCACTTGAAGTCCGATCAAGTCTGATGCAAAGAGGTAAGGTGGAAAATGTTAGTGAATGGGTCCCACACGAGCTCAATGAAAATGAAAGTGTTCAGCCTTTTTAAAGTTTGTTCGATGCTTTCTCTGCAAAACTCAAAGTGGATGCTTACTGATAACTGTAAGTGATGAGGGTAATCGCTTGCTCGTGACGAAGCACCTAAGCACTGTCCAAAACCGAAGTTACATCAACGGAAGAGTTTACTAAATAAAGATGAAGAAAATTCAACGAACGTTAAAATTATAACCTTATTCGTCTGCGCTTTCGAACTCTCACTGGAGTCCATCGTCAAGGATAGCTGTGGCAACAAAAACAGGTAACAGTTTTAGGGGGCAGTGGCCAATCAACCATCAGCGATGTCAGTCCAGAGATGAGAGCGCAGGGCGATGTCTGCCGGCACCAGATCGATAAATCGAATGACTAAGTTCTCGTCGGAGGCCCAAGCTTCAATCAATTCCCGGCTTGTCTTGCTCCCGGCGTGGACGACTTTCTTCGCGATTGTGACGGCGAATTCGTGACCCGTCTCGTAAGTGTGGGCAGCCACTTGCGATAATCCGTTACGGCGTCCTACAGCCTGTTTATGCTCATGTATGTACGGTCCAAGCATGTGTCCAGTCTGTTGTGTGTAGTTTAGAGGATAGTTTACG